GTCTGACCTGGAAGACGCCTCCTTTGCTGTTATCCGTGGTGACCTTGCCCAGTGACGCCTTATGGCAGCTCTGGTGGTCTAGTTGACAAGAAGCTGCACTGCACTTTTAAAGACACACGGTTCAAGGCTACCAGCAACTCCACGGGGAAAGGATGGGCAGTTTCCTCCCATGTGATTAACTGCCTCTGCAAACGTGCCAGAGGGTTGGTTCCAACTCCACTGTACACTGCAGTAAATCAAAATATAATAGTAACTTTATTATTTATTTTTTTTTGCAGTGCAGGTCTTTAAAAATTTGGGGGGAGGGGAGAAGATAATGTTTAACTAGTAGGTCTAAAGTCAGTATTCTTTATCTTTAAATTGAAGGAACTCTGGTGGAACTTCGGTGGCCTCATGGTTAGGAGTTGTGCTGCCAACCCAAAGGTACACAGTTCAAATCCTCCAGCTGCTTCACAGGAGAAAGACGGACAGTCTACCCTAATGTGATATGTTGTTGTTATGTACCATAGAGTTGGAACAGACCTATACCTGACCCTCCAGCAGGTTTGCAGGGACAATTAATCTCATAGGAGGAGATTGCCCATCCTTCTCCCATAGAGCAGCTGGTGACATTGGATCTCGTGCCTTCGGGATTGTAGCACATACAGCCTCTGAAAACTGCTGGAGGGCCAGCTGTGAGTCAGATCCGCCTCAGTGACAGTGAGCTGAGTTGTCCTATAAAGAGTTGCCCTTCTAATCAAGATCTCTACCTGGTGGCTCCATGGGACAAAAACGAGCAATTTCCTCCCATTTTCTGTAGTCTTAGAAATCCAGGGGAGTGTCAGCTACGAATTGGTTCCAACTCAACAGCAATGTGTTATTATCACTGTAATAAATGTTCATCTTCAAAAATCTTCCTTAGCACTTAGGTTGTAGCTCTCAGGTCACACAGAACTAAGATCTGGGCCACAGTTTATCTGTGGATCATAGTCTACTGATCCCAACTCTAAACTGAAGTGTCTTAAAAGTAATGGTTTTTAAATCAAGATCAGCATATAGTTTAGTGGTAAAAGAGATATACTGGAAATAATTGTTTTAATCAAGTGTCGGATATTATTTTACAACATACAGTGGCAAAAACAGCCTAATAAAAAGCATTGGAAGAGGTCTTTACATCTGTGAATTCTTTTTAATCCCTCTCATTTTTATTTTGTCTCTGCATATGGTTAGTATCATCTTATTGTTTGTTTTGAAGGAATGGAGAAATTTGAAACAGAAGCGAGATGAAAATTACCAAAAAGTGATGTGCTGTTTAGTGCACCGCTACTTGACATCGATGCGACAGAAGATGCAGAGCACAGATCAGGCAACTGTGGAAAACTTAAATGAACTGCGTCAAGATCTCTCCAAATTCCGAAATGAAATAAGAGATTTACTTGGCTTTCGGACTTCTAAATATGCTATGTTTTATCCAAGAAATTAACCGTTTTCTAAATCATGTAGGGGACAATTTTCAATAATCTGAAAAACTGTATTTACATAACTTGCAATTAATTAGGTCTATATTAAAATAAAGGATTATGTAAAAGCCATTCTTTATTTATAGTGTAAATATCCTTTAAAATCTTTCCTGTATGTAAAATATGTGTATAGAGTTAGTTTTTTAAAACCCTCGTTAGTGGCTTTTTGGAGAAAAAAAAATGAAGTACATAGATTTTGTTAGCATGCCATTTAGTTTTCTGATTTAGAAAGTGCTTTTAAATTATTATTTTTTTAATGTTTAAAAGAGATACTTGCAACTGTGCACATTGTTCAGATGGTGTTCTAAAATAAAGATCAGCACATTAGAGCTGATCTCCAATAGGATGCATTTGAGATGTATAAGCCATGGTTTCTAAATATCTGTTTTAGGAATTTACATACTGTCCAGTATTTATTGTTTAGGAGTATAGTTTTATCTGAAACAATAATTTGTATTTTCTTTTTTTTATTTTATTGTAATGTTAGGCAACAAAAAACCCACTAAGAAAGATTTACATCTATTTATGTCTACGATTTTAAATTCACTTTAATTTTTGTTATTTTATTCCTTTTTACAGTTATAATCACTTTATATTTTTAATTTTGCTCTCATATAATAACATTATATATTTCCATGTGTTGACATAGCCCATGTATTTGATTTTTTTATAAAATTATGTAATTTAAAAAAATAGTTATTTGACATTTTTGTTTTGTAGCTGTAGTGTATTTGATTATAAATTTGTATTATTGCTTTTCTAAGGTTAAGCATTTAATTGCTTTTCATTTTTCCCTATCATAATAATGCTGTAATTATTTTTTCCTCGTTTGAGTGAGTGTTTACCATACATTACAGCTCAATATAAGGATTTAGAAGATCTTTCTTTCTCATGTGTGTTAACAACTGATTCTGTTTGTCTGCTACCCGTCGGCAGTCTCTTGACACTGAGGGTGTGTTATATATCAAGGCTGAGGTTGGTGAGCTGATCTTCCTGCGTGTTTCCCATAGATCTGCCCCGGCTCCCGTAAGGCTGACTTCATACTTCTTTGTGGATTACTCTTGCTGCTTAAGATGGGAAACTATGACCTTTTAAATTGGAAAGTAAATTTGTGTTTAAATTTGTTTCTGTGTTCACATAAGAAGTATAGTTAAAAGTGCTCATGTATTCTTGCAACATTTTCAGTTAAGAGGGTTTGGGGTGTCTAATTGTCTTCTTAACTGAATGTCAGGTAGTCTTAAGGCCACAGGGTGCAGGTAGCCCCTGGTCAACAAGCTCCACTGATCCAGGGATCATTGTCCAGCTATATTAGTATTATGTTTCTCCTTGCTTTATAATTTTTATTTTTTAATGTCCAATTGTAAGATTTTCCCCTTTTGGGAAAATTCTTATAAAAATGTTTACTGTAAAATCATATATTTTGTCTACAATGGGGTTGTGCACTTCCCACCTGGGATTTTACATCAGAATTTTTAGTCATTCTGAAAATACCTAAACATGAAATAAAAATATTTATAGAGTGCCTACTGTATGCATGAGTTACTTATGCGGTATATTTTGAATGACAGCATATTGTAAGAAAAAACCCAACAAATAAAAGTTGACATTCAGTTATAAAATGACAGTCTGTCCATAGTTTTTTCATAATACTTTTTTTATCGGGATAGGATTCCAATCATAAAATTCCATTTTTAAAATGGACAATTGACAATATTGGGAAGCTATCACCTTTCTCTGATTGTAGAACATTCCATGATTCTGAAAAGGCAAACCCATTCTCATCTGCTGTCACTCTCCAGTCCCTGCACCTGTGTCTGTGGATTTACTTATTCTAAACATTTCTATTAGTGACATCATGCAATGGGGCCTTTTGTATCTACTTTATTAAATGTGGCATAATATCTATACTTCATTTGTGTTTATCTGTTCATCAGTTCATAAACATTTGGGTGGTTTCTACTAACAATCTATTTAGAACTTTAGAATAATGTGTGAACACTTGTGTATACAATTTTGTTTAGACATGCATCTTCAATTCTCTTGGAGATATATGTCTCAGGTGCACCACTTGACCTTCCTGTCATCATTTATCAAGGTTCTAGTTTCTCTACATGGTTTCAAATGAAGTAAAATATATGTCAGGACCGTATCCTTTATTCATACCTGTTCAATTTGTATGCAGAGCAAATAATTCAAGAGGCTGAACTTTATGAAGAAAAGTGCAGCATCAGAATCAGAGGAAGGCTCATCAACAATCTGTGGTATACAGATGCCACAAGTTTTCTTTCAAAAAGCAAGAACCAGAGATGCTTACTGAGGAAGGTCAAAGCCTGCAGCCTTCAATATGGATTACATCTCAACATCAGAAAATAAAAGTCCTCACCACTTGGCCAGTAGGTAGCATCATGATAGATGGAGAGAGGATTGAAGAGGTGAAGGATTGAATCTTGTTTGGATCCACAGTCAACACTTTTGACACTACCAGTCAAGAAATCAAAAGGTGTGTTGCATTGGGAAAAATCTATCAAAGATGGCTCCAAAGTGCTGAAGAGCAAGGATGTCAGTTTAAAGACTAAGGTGCATCTGATCCAGACTCTGGTCTTTTGAGTTACTTCCTTTGCATCTGAAAGCTGGACACTGACTAAGGATGGCAGTAGAATAGATGCCTTTGAACTGTACTGTTGGGAACGAGTACTGAATATCTCATCAACTGCCAAGATAAAAAAAAAAAAAGTATATCTTGGGAACAATGAAGCCAGAGGGAAGAATCAATTATCCTATAATCTCTAGTCATTATTTAGCTTTCTGATGCCTAGCAAGTAACTGCAAAGATTATGGCCTGAATCAGGCACACCTTAGTCTTCAGACTGACATCATTGCTCTTCAGTACTTTGGAGAGGTCTCTGACAGTAGACTTTCCCAGTGCAATTAATCTTTTGATTTCCAGGCTTCTGGTGCCAAGAGTGTTGATGGTGGAGCCAAGCAAATTAAAGCTGTTTACAATCTCAATCTCTTCACCAACATGATGCTGCCAATCAGCCCAGTGGTGAGAATCTTTGTCTTCTTGACATTGAGCTTCAATCAGCATTGAAGGCTACAGTCCTTGACCCTCAGCAGCAAGCACTTCAGGTTCTCCTCAGTTTCAGCAAGCAGGGTTTTGTCATCTGCATAATGCAGATTGTTTATGACTCTTCCTCCAATCCTGATGCCACAGCTTTCTTCATAGAGCCCAGCTTCCCAGATAATGTGTTCTGCATATAGATTGAAAAGGTATGGAGATAGGACACTCCCTGGTGAACACCCTTCCCAATTTTGAACCGTGCAGTGTTAGACAATAATAGATAGGTCTTTTTATTTGTAAATGATAGCTCATTGTGGGCTTGATTTGTCTTTCCCTGATGATGGTGCAGAACTGGGCAGGCTCTCATGGTGTTGCATGTAGAATCACTAGGAGTCTCACTGCATGAGGCCTAAAACAGCTACTGGTTTAATGCACTCCCACTCAAATGCCAGCAGTCTTCTTTAGAGAAGTAGACCAACCTCCAGCTTTATATGGAAGGACAAGAGGCCCCAGATAGTTAAAACCATCTTGAAAAAGAAGAACAAAATAGGAGAATTCACTTAGCACCTTATGCTATTAACCAGAAGGCTGAACAGCCCTAGCACTTCAAACCCACCAGCCACTCCTCAGGAGAAAGGGAGGCAATCTCTTCCCATTAAGATTTACAGTCTTGGCAACCCGAGGGAGGGCCCCTTTAAGTCAGAATCTACTTAACCACACTGCGTATGAGTGTGTAGAGCTACAAAAATCCTAACAACCTGATGCAAATCTAACACTAGAAACATAGGCCAACGGAGTAGAATGGAGAGCCCAGAAATATACTCATGCATCTGTGATCAACTGATTTTTGGCAAATGTGTGCTAAATGCACTTGCTAGAAAAAGTAGAATCTCTTCAATAAGTGGTGCTGGAAACATGGGAAAAAATAAGCAGGACCCATGTCTCACATCATATACAAAACCAAATTAAAAACATGTTAAGGATCTAAATGTGCAAGTGAAAACTATAGAATGATTATGAAAAACAAGCAGAGGCAGTGTTGTCAGGCCTAGCTTTCAACAGTGGAATGCACTAATAACACAAACAGTAAAATACAAAAGAAATTGATCCTAGAAAAATTAAAACCAATGCTTCATCAAAAGACTTAACTAAAAAAGTGAAAAGACGTGAGGAGTACCTCTGGAAACGGTATCTAACTCCATTCTAGAAACAAAATAGAAACCCATTATTAGTTTAACATCAAAAAGACAACTCAATCATAAAGTGGGCAAAGCTAGATGTTTCATCAAGGTGGACATTCAGAAGGCCACTGAGTATACGAAAAGATGCTCAGCATCCTGAGCCATCAGAAGGATGCAAATCAAAACTTCAATGAAATGCTGTCGAGTACGGCTTACAGCAACCTTACGGCTTACAGATCTGAACCTTGACTGTCCTGTGCTGTCCTCAATCTCTGACACCTATGCCCACTACTACACTAACTGTGTCACAGTGACTGCTCATTTCCACAGTTGGTGTGTACCATTGAGTGAGCTCTGACCCACAGCTCACTCTCCGGCAGGTTCTCACGAGGCAGTAAAACACATGGGAAGAGCTGGTGGATTCGAACTGCATACCTTGCTCACTCCCACTGGGATGGTGTATGTAAACAAACTGCCTGCACCCAAATAGCAAATGTTTGTGAGGATATGGGGACCTATGGTGGCTTAATCCAAAGGAAATCGTTCTGTTAACCTAAAAGCCTCATTCTCGGTTTGAATCCACCAAGACTCCAAGAGAGAAAGTCTTGGAAATTCACTGGAAGATTAGCAATGAGTTGGCTCCACTTCCAAGACAATGAGTGAGTGATTTATTACTGGTAGGAATGAAAAATAGTGCAGCTGTTCTGAAAAACTGGCAGTTAACTAAAAAAATTTGTACACATCTAACAATTGTGTGCCCTAGATCATATTTTATCTTATTTAAGATAATTGACATCTTAAGCAATTTGTTCAAATCTGTCTTGTGATCCTGAACTTAATGTGTAGTTTGTGTCAGATAAGAATATATCCAAAGCTTTTGCTTTTTCAAATCAATTCCTTATATTC